CCCCAAAACCCCAAAACCCCAAAACCCCGCGAAGATAAAATAGAGGTCTATAATATTAAGGGAATTTAATTTATTTAGGAAGTATAATAATTAAGGGTTTAACTTTTATTTTAAATTCAATAATTTATCAAATTAATATTGACTCTCTTCTCAAAATATATACATAATTTCTGATTAAATGACTTCTATCATTCAGCTCTACTAGAACCCAGTAAAAACACCCTAACCCCAGGGCTGTGGAGACAGGTTTATCTCTTAGAGAACATGCTCCAAGGAGATGTTCAACAACTACGACACAAAGAGCGAGATATTCTCTCAGAGCTCCCAGATCAATCTGCTTGACAAACTTGGAAGCCATACTTCTCAGCAGATCGAGGAAAACAACGAAAACTAGTTGAGTCAAGCGAACAGTATGCAGGCAGATGAAAATCAAAGAATGTACACTACGCTGCTGCAAAACTAGGTTCTAGGAATACAGAATCCTCATCTAATTTAAGGTGGTTATCTTAATGATGAGTTCATGGATAGTGTTGGAAGCATTGAAAAATCCATTCCGCTCAGTTTAGCACCTCCTTCATCATATAATGTACTAAGATTCAATCAAAAGGAGAGAAAGCCATTTGAGTCTTGCCCTTACAAAGTAGCTCCTTTTGCAGGCTTTGAAGAGGATTAGCTTTTAACAGCACCATATAAATAGCAAAGGAAAATTCCAAAAGTTCCATTCAAGGTGTTAGATGCTCCAGCATTGCAAGATGATTTCTATCTTAATCTGGTTGACTGGTCTTCAAGTAATATTCTGGCTGTAGGTTTAGGATCATGTGTTTATCTATGGTCTGCTTAGAGCAGTAAGGTCACAAAATTGTACGATCTCGGGTAGAATGACTCAGTAACCAGTGTGCAATGGTCGAACCGAGGAAATCTCCTAGCAGTAGGAACGAATTCAGGGTAACTTTAAGTTTGGGATACGCAAAAAACAAAACAGATTAAGACTTTGACTGGCCACGAGGGCAGAATAGGTACTGTAGCCTGGAACAGCAGATTTCTGAGTTCAGGGTCGCGAGATAAATGCATCCTTCACAGAGATTTGAGAACAAAGCATAACTTCGAAGCAAAACTGCAGGGACACAAATAGGAAGTTTGCGGATTAAAATGGAGCTATGATGAATAATAATTAGCTTCAGGAGGAAACGATAATAAGCTACTGATCTGGAGCTTGCACAACAGTACGAGTCCCCAAGCAAAGTTTGCGAATCATATTGCAGCAGTAAAGGCAATAGCATGGTCTCCGCATCAACATGGACTATTAGCAAGCGGTGGAGGAACAGCTGATAGGTGCATCAGATTCTGGAACACTCTAACCTTATCGCCTTTAAGTTCTCTTGAAACTGGAAGTTAGGTGTGTAATTTGCTATTCTCTAAAAATGTTAACGAACTTGTGAGTACTCACGGATATTCATAGAATCAAATCATAGTATGGAAGTACCCGACTATGAAGAAGCTAGCGACGTTAACAGGACATACATTTAGGGTTCTATATCTATCGTGCAGCCCGGACGGGTAGACTTTAGTAACAGGCGCAGGCGACGAAACCCTAAGGTTTTGGAACGTATTTCCACCAAAGAAAGAATCTAAGTCGCCGATTTCGAGCATAATTCCATCCAGAATGGATCTTAGATGAAGAGTGTAATATTGTACCCTAAAAATAACTAAGTAAGAAGTATAAGTAAGACCTTAACCAATCGGTAATCTCATTTATGAGTATATAATATTATGTAAGACCTTTTATTCTTAAAAAGTAAATATTATTGTATATTTAAAGTCATTATTACATCTAAGAGTCATTTATTCTAAATTAACCTATTTACATTCAATTTGCCTTTTGATTTACATACGATATTGTATTCACATTCAGATCATGGTTGATGTCGAAAACTTTACCTCCTAAGTTGTCATACATTTATTCCAAATAGTCTTGATCTTCCCTTTGGTTGCGTTCTCTATCAATTTCAGTCTTAAATTAATTCAGACTATTTTCGATAATCTAGTCTGCGGCATTATCCATATCTAAAGTAGTTTGATTTAGTCTCTTGTACTTTTATTTAGAAAGAGGGTTAACACTTCGAGATCTGTTTTATTCATTCGATGACCCATATACTTCTATGTCAAGCAATGCCATTTTCTCCTTAAAATCTATTTTTCTTTTATTAAAGCCTGGCTTCAAAGGAAGCTTTCCATATTTGAGATAGATCTCCTTCCTTCCATCTAATTTCACTTAAGCACCTTACTCCAGATCAGCTCTTTTTATAACTTTAGGAGAAGCCAGCCTATCAAGCTCTTCAAAGTTCTTTTTCACAAATGGCTGTCTATATTCTTCCTGCATTAACTATCTTAGCTTAAATCCTTGCAATTTCAATTCCTAGAAATAGTTAAGATTTACTGACCATTAATTTACTTTATCCTTATCAGAAATGTTTTTAGATTGCTCTTCAAGTTTTTATAAGAGCTCTTTTATTTGTTTTTCATATTTGGCCTTTTGAAAGTTAAAATTCTTATAGTCTTTTTCCTTTGCTTTAGTCAGCATTTCCACTACTCTATTCAATTCTTCTATTTTCTCATCTGCTTTCATCAGCTAAATTTATTAGCAGATTAAGTTCTTACGTGATAAGGTTTATTTGCTTCGACTTTAGAGCCCCCTTCTGCTATAGCTTGATTTTTCTTAGAATGACCCTTTAGCTCTCTTATTGTTTCCTCTAGCCTAACCATATGCTCCTACTACTACTTATTTGTTCTCTCTTCATTCCTTAGTTTCAGCTCTAGCCCTCTTATCCTTTCCTTTGAATACCTCATCTCCTCTACTAAAGCCTTTATTCTCAAAGGATAATCATTTTCATCAGTTATTTTCTCCAGAGCTCTTCCTTGCTCTACTTAAATCTTATGCATTGACTTAAGTTCCTTTATTAGATCCGTGTTTTTTTATTCAGCATTGTTAAGCTTCGCCTATAGATCCAGAATTTTGTCATAGCCACTTGGCAAATATCCCTTGTTTTTATACCCTTTGATCTCATTCATTTGTTATTCAATAGTTTGTCTCAATAAGTTTATTTCCTTATCCTTCTGATATATAATATCATTCAGTGCTTAATAATCTTAGGAATTGTTATTCTAGCCTCCATTTATTTGCTAATCATGCACAGATTACGTTTTATTTAGAGAGACATCAAGAGCTAAAGTCAGTTGTTTTAATTTTTTCTTCAAAACAGCATTAGTCTTTTTCAACTGATTTATTTCCTCTCTATTATGGAATTTCATGTCTAATAATAAGTTACCTTGGATTAATTTCAACAGATTTTTCATTTACAGATGTTGGTGAGCCAAAATTAGTATGATGATCCGCGTCATATTCACTCTAATAAGTTGAATTCAATAATGCTTCAGTTTAAAAATATTACTAGCTATCGTGAGGCAATTCTTTATTAAGCATTTCTAGTACCTCCTGTTATCATGTTTGAAACCTCAGAGTACAAATCCTTGATCTACCCCTGACCTTATATAAAATCTAAAATTGAATTTGATTTTACGAATATTTCTGTAGGGATCTTCCATTGTAACAAATTTACTAATTTTGCAACCTAAATTTTGCTTTATTCTCTATTCTTGGGGTTTTGGGGTTTTGGGGTTTTGGGGAGATCGGAAGAGCACACGTCTG